TAAAAATAACTCAAAATTTATCCACGAGTTATCAGTTTATACATACCCAAAAATTCAGCCATAATTTACTCGCCCTCATATCATTCCAAGCCAATAAATCTTTTATGTTTGAAACACAAATTAGGGTATTTTTAACTAAACCTGACAGATTTCTCACCTTCAAGCGGTTTAATCTAAGTCTTCTGAAGAGACATTTCACAGCCAGTGTTGGCAGATTAGGTTGATGATTTCCAGCCCCAAAGCTCTTCAAAACCTGGTCAAAAAAAATCACAGCCAAAGGCATGTGATAGAAATCCAACCAAGGTTGACACTGACAAAATAAAGTCATAAAATCAATCAGTTTTCCAGACAGGATAACAATACAACAGGAAAACAGATCAAACATGGCAAATACAGTAAAAGAAAATGAGCAAATATGACAAAAAATGTTTTTACCCAAACAGGTAGAAACTATTAAATGTATTCAAGGTAGTCAAGAAATTAAAAGACCTTAAAGTTACGGTAGGCAACTTTTTCCAGAAACATTTTTTGTTTTACTGGTTGAAAGTCTCTTCACATCCTGATAGCCATCAATAATTAAAGTAGTCTAAATATAAAAATAAATAAATATATCTTTTGTGGAAGTCTCAGGACCATAAAATGTTCATCCAATCTTTGCATTTGGTCCGAATGCAAACATAGGATGTCCTACCTGCCTGTCAAAATATGTATTTGCATACCTCCGCACAGCCAATAGTGAGAGTTTGGGGGCGTGGCTACTGTAGGAGGCTGACCAGAGGGTGTTTAGCAGGTGTGGAAAAACAAATTCAGATTCTATTACAGACGTGCAAACTAAAATTCGAAGACTTGACAAAATACACAGATACAGATAACGGGGTAATACAAGAGTAAACATTGGCAGTGTTTTTACAAGATGCAGAAATTTGGTGGAATGTTTGTATTTCAATCGATACAACGAACTTATAGAGTTCTTCAAGTTAAAAGCATTCCTAGTATGTTTTATTTTATTGACAGCCTGCTTTTACCTGTTGAGAAATGCCTTCACTTTTATAGACCTGTAAGAGCTGTGTTTGTGATGTTTGAGTTGGGAGAGGCGTGACTCGCGAAAGGAGCGTTTGCAAAGGTTTTTTAAAAGCATGCTTTATTTTTGTAGTTCTAGTCGTTTTAAAACACACATGTATCATTTTAAATGTCAACAGCAAAAACAATTCAAGTGCAATTGAAGTGTAGACAAAACCGTGTAACTCATCAGAATAAACCATGTAATTAGTGCAACAAGCTGACTTTTTGGGTTGACAGTGATATGCTGATGCACTCACCATAACAGCCGAAAATGTGTAATTTGTGTTAAAAAAAAATAACAACAATAATGTGCTTACC